AAGAAGAAGAAGAAGAAGAAGAAGAAGAAGAAGAAGAAGAAGAAGAAGAAGAAGAAGAAGAAGAAGAAGAACAAGAACAACAACAACAACAACAACAACAACAACAACAACAACAACAACAACAACAACGACAACGACAACAACAACAACAACAACAACAACAACAACAACAACAACAACAACAACAAGATATTATTCTTACCTCAAGGCACTAACCACAGAAGAAAGGTAAAAACTCCACTACTGTCTATTATCCCTCTCTACCTGTTCCTCTACTACTGAGTGCACACACACACACGCACATACAGCCTGGACTACATAAATCTACACACACACACATAGATATAGGCCTTCGCTGCTGCAGAAAGAGGGTCTACAGGTTCTGGTTGTCAGAGCGAAGCGGAGGACGAACATTGGACAGGACAAACGCGGATGTTGGCGCACTAGTTTGTCCACATTTATAGGCCAGGGGCTTTTGGAGACGAGTTTCGACTTTCGTTTCGCTGTGCTGCGTGTTAAGTGCAAATATATATTCCACGAGTTGCACACCGCGAAACGAATTTCTGTCATTCTAATGGTTCATTTTCATTCTTTGAGACGTCTTTGACAAAATTTAATAAATTATGTACACAGCGTCTTTCGCATTCCCACCAGCAGTGTCAAAAATAAAGAAGGGAGGACTTCCGTAACGAGCGACCACTATGAGACTGAGTAGAATAGAGGCCTAGCGGTAGGGATAGGGGTAGGGGTAGGGGGTTAGTAGGTAAGAGTAGAATAGTAGGTCTCTTCTTTGTTGGGGTGGTCGTTCGTAACGAAAGTCCTTCCATTAAGAATCTTTCCATCTAATATGATGACCATCTCACGGGATGTCCCTCCTACAGGCCACTCGCCTCGCTGCTGACAGACGCACGTGTCTCTCCGCGACACCCACTGGTACAAGCGGAAGAAAAAAGTAAAAAGTAAAGTAAGTATGATGACCGTAAAGAGCAAGAGGGGGAAATGTTTATTAGGTACTAGATCTAATCTCGGGCCACTTGAAGTAGACGCTCGGAAAAGACGGGGGCCGGGGGGAGAGGGGGGACCTGATAATGTTATTTACTTTAGTTTCAGTGAATGTGTAGATTTAATGGTGGAACAAAGAAATGGTTTGGCCACCTGTTACGCATGTCACCTGACCAGCCAGCCTCGAGAGCCTACAACACCAAGCACTCAGGCTATAAAGGAAGAGGAAGGCCACGAGAAAGGTGGATCGAGGGTGTCAAGGAAACCCTAAGAAAACATAAGATCACAACTGAAAGAGCTGCGGAGCTGGCCTACCATAGAAAACTGCATCTCCCCTCGACGCTTAACGCAACAGAGGAAGAAAAAGTAAAAAGTAAAAAAGTAAGAAAAGTATGTTTAAAAAAATGGGCTACAAAAAAAGAATAGCAGGCGCACCTTCAGATTTGCTTGCACCAAATTACTAGTGTAAGGCGGGGGCTCTCGTGGCCTAGAGGTTAAGGTGTTCGCCTCTCATTCAAAGATCCCGCGGGTTCGAATCCGGGTAACGACCGAAACATTTTCTTATCTGAAATTGTCTCCTTTCTCCTCCTTTCTTGCTTTCTAGCTATGTTCTGTCGTCTGCTTTCGCCTCCTCTTTCTGCTCCTACCCCCACACCTCTTTCGCCCCTCCTCTGGGCTCCTGACTCTTTCTGCAGCCTTTCTACTGCAATTCCTTGGATCCTTCTTTCTGCTGTCTTTCAGCCTCACCCCTGATCTTCCGGTAGGAAATATATACACCTAGCCTTCTCGGACAAGGGCGAACTATCTCGGAGGGGCCGTGTGCAAATTGCACACATTAAAGATCCCTTGGTGGTATAAAATCAATAAGAGTAGGCTTTGGCCGCCACCTGGGCAAAATTCTAAATTTCCTACGAACTGAGAATGTTCGGTATGTCCCGAGCACTTGTATGACCTTATTCAGTTGCCAACGCCGTGAAACACTTTAAAAATGGTCAAAGCAGGGTATTTGACCTGTGAACTTTTAATGATTCTGGAGAGGAACATAATAAACATACCCAGAGAAGAAAGAGGAAGGATAAGGACGACAGATGGTTGATCAAAGAAAGAGGAAGGATAAGGACTACAGATGGTTGATCAAAGAAAGAGGAAGGATAAGGACGACAGATGGTTGATCAAAGAAAGAAGAAGGATAAGGACTACAGATGGTTGATCAAAGAAAGAGGAAGGATAAGGACGACAGATGGTTGATCAAAGAAAGAGGAAGAATAAGGACGACAGATGGTTGATCAAAGAAAGAGGAAGGATAAGGACGACAGATGGTTGATCAAAGAAAGAGGAAGGATAAGGACTACAGATGGTTGATCAAAGAAAGAGGAAGGACAAGGACGACAGATGGTTGATCAAAGAAAGAGGAAGGATAAGGACGACAGATGGTTGATCAAAGAAAGAGGAAGGATAAGGACGACAGATGGTTGATCAAAGAAAGAGGAAGGATAAGGACTACAGATGGTTGATCAAAGAAAGAGGAAGGATAAGGACGACAGATGGTTGATCAAAGAAAGAGGAAGGATAAGGTCTACAGATGGTTGATCAAAGAAAGAGGAAGGATAAGGACTACAGATGGTTGATCAAAGAAAGAGGAAGGATAAGGACTACAGATGGTTGATCAAAGAAAGAGGAAGGATAAGGACGACAGATGGTTGATCAAAGAAAGAGGAAGGATAAGGACGACAGATGGTTGATCAAAGAAAGAGGAAGGATAAGGACTACAGATGGTTGATCAAAGAAAGAGGAAGGATAAGGACGACAGATGGTTGATCAAAGAAAGAGGAAGGATAAGGACGACAGATGGTTGATCAAAGAAAGAGTGAACCACCCACGCGCACGTTTTGTTTGTCTGTTTGTTTGTCTTGTGCATGTTACATTTCAACATGAAAGGGGTGCCCTTCTCGCATTCCACAAGAAATGAAGATATCGGCCGGAAATTATTGACAAACAGCTAGAATTTGCAAATAGATCCTGCAAAAAAGAAGAATTAGAAGAATGAAAGGTAAAGATGACTTAATAATATGACTTTTGCTATGGCCGATGGGAACAATAATTTTGGCAGAGAAATGTTTGCCACATTTTGAGCCTTGAAAAGCTCTACTTCCACTCATTGTGGATCTGGGTGGTTGGCGGGTGCTCTGGTGCGGTTTGCTCCTTCTTTCCTATAAAAAAATCTATTGTCTCTATCTCTCCTCCTTCTTTTTCGTTTTTGTTACTCTCTTGTGGTTATGCTCTCGGACTCGCAACCGTAAGGTCGTGGGTTCGAATCCTATCAGAGGCCCGACGTTGTGTCCTTGGGAAAGGCACTTTGCACAAATTTCGCTCACTTCACCAGGTGGAAATGGGTACCCGTCTTTAGACAGTGAACGATCTTGTCAGTTTGATAGTGTTTGAGCGCGTGAAATCCGAAGCTTGCACTGTATGCTTCCGCGGAAGCCGAGAATGTTTCAGAGTGTTCTCAGGGGGCCTGCTGGGGTAATAATAGTTGTAAAGCGCATAGAGCATGCTCTTGAGGATGGATATGCGCTATATAAATACAATTATTATTATCATCATTATTATTATTTTCAGCACTGATATGGCCTTATTGTGTAGCAAGTGCCGTAAAACTCATACTAAAACTAAACGTATTGTTGAAGAGCGCAGCACGGGCGCTTTCCCCTTGGTTACAGTGTTTCTTATTCGTGAAGTTTGGTGTTGTGACTTGAACACGTTGGGGTTTTTTTTGTAAGAGTTTTACGGCACTTGCAACACAACAAGGTCATAAAAGTACCGAAGAATTGATTACATGTTACAAGAGAGTAACACACCAAAAAAAGAAAGGGGGGGGGGGGGGGGGGGAGATCAGGACAATAGATGTTTGATAGGAAAGAAGGAGCAAACCTCACCAGAGCATCCGCCAACCACCCACATTGAAGACGAGCTGTTTTGGAGTACAGCAATTACAAATAGAGGCTTTACCTCGTTATGCATTTTGCGCAGATTTTTCCATTCTGTTTTCTTTGTCTGAACATTTAATCATTACATATACTTTTTCTTCCTCTGTTGCCGTTAAGCGTCGTGGGGGGGGGGGGGGGGGGTAGTTTTATTGAGTAGGCCAGCTCCGCAGCTCTTTCAATTGCTTTGGGATATTATGATTTCTCAGGGTTTCCTTGACTCCCTCAATCCATCATTTGCGTGGTCTACCTTCTAAGCGACAGGCAGGATAGGAAGTGAAAGCAGAAAATTTTAGAGAAGAAAATTTTCCGTCGCTACTGGGATTCGAACCCGGGACCTATTGAATGAGAGGCCAACACCTTAACCTCTAGACCGCGCGAGCCGCCTTATTTGTGTTGTATGCTGGTTCGAAATGTGACGGGGAAATTAATTGCCTTTAACAGGATAATTAATTATGTCCGCTTCGCCTTTAAAGAGTTAAGGTATACAAATATGGCTCTCGGACTCGCAACCGTAAGGTCGTGGATTCGAATCCCGTAAGGGACCCGACGTTGTGTCCTTGGGAAAGGCACTATGCACGAATTTTCCTCTCTTCACCCAGGTGGGAATGGGTACCCGGCTATAGACAGCGAAAGATCGTGTCAGTTTGTTAGTGTTGGAGCGCTTAATCAGCTGCTTGCACTGTGTGCTTCGCGGGAAGCTGAGAATGTTTCGGAGTGTTCTATGGTCTGCTGGGGTAATAATATATTGTAAAACGCATAGATCCTGCAGTTGAGCGGGGATATGCGCTATACAAATGCTATTTATTATATTATACAATTCTGCTTCGGTCACTGTGCAGGGCACTTACCCAGGAAAACTGCAAACCGTTAACTCTTTAAACCCGCGTCAGACACATTTGTCCGGCCAATATAAGATCAAAGTCAGTGTTGTGGCATAACATTTCAAGCCCACAAACACAAACTATAAACACAACTGTACATTGGACATTTCATATTGATATAAATGTTGTTGCCTGCCTTTTTAAGTTTCCGAGACAGAAAACAGAATTGGACAATTTGTATAGATATAACGAAGTTCAGCTTTTTCAAGCATTCGAATGGGCAGGATCTTAGCGTGGCAGGATCCAATAAGTTAACAAATCCCTTTCCAAGGCTGCGCCACCGACCTCAACACGCACGTAATCAAAACAATATTAGTCTTGGGACTTCTTCTTCCTTCGCCAGCATGTCTGGGTTTTTTTCATGTCCTGTTTGTCGACTTAGTGGCCAAAGGCTCTTAGTTTTTTCCCCAGTCTGTTTTTAGTTTTAGTGCAAACAGACAGACTGACTCACTGACAGACAGATAGACAAGCAGACAGACAGGCAGACAGGCAGACAGGGAGACAGACAGACAGGCAGACAGACAGGCAGACAGGCAGACAGACAGACAGACAGACAGACAGGCAGATAGGCAGATAGACAGACAGACAGGAAGACAGACAGACAGGCAGGCAGACAGACAGACAGACAGACAGACAGGCAGGCAGGCAGACAGACAGACAGACAGACAGACAGACAG